ACATCTTTCGGTAAGCGATCTTTTCCATCCCCCCCTAAATTAACGCCGCAGCGCCCAGGCGCTGCGGAAGTCCCCGACATATGTCCTGGATTTTATTTGGCTTTCCGACCCGCCGCAAATAGCGGTGGGCACTCCCGTTTATATCCAGGGCCGTCCCATCTAAATTATAATTAATCGGCGCGGCGCGTGGCGTATATGAGTGAGCGATTGTAAGTGTGATGTGTATAGTGTGCGTGAGGAAAATGATCCGAGAGAATGACACTTCGTCCCGCGAGACCAAAATACAATGTAATGGGAATGTGAGCCAAATCTTTGAGTTGGGTAAAGGCAGATGCCGGGCTGATACACGGTGAACGTGAACGAACAATCACACGGGCCGCTTAGTTTAATACACCCGGGTGGCAGGCGGGCATTGTAGAGTAACTTTGATTAACGTAATGTCTGTACATGGGGGGAACCAATAAAAGGTTGCAGGTTCCGATGCATGAAACCCCTACACTTGGTCATGACACCACGAAGCCCACGAATGGATCCACGGACTTCGGAGCATCTGCAGAACATCACCAAAGGCCCAAAGGGCAGAACTATTAAATAGTAAGCCCTTCGGAGTTCGGACCTCCCCAGTCAATTTTTCAGGTTACAATACCTTTCCTTGCCTGAGCCCCGGTGCATATTCTACCGACTCTACCTCCGCCCCTGGCGGATCGAGGGGGCATTTGGGACAAGGCCCCTACTCCCGCAGCGCCCGAAATCGACGAAACTTTGCGGCTTTTCGAGAAAACGAAGACCTTTATTTGTTGTGGTTTGTTTTGAACTGTAAACGATGCGAACCCTGATAGGTAACCGATACCGACTGCTTGATACCCTCTGCATAAGTTCATGGAAGAGATGCAGACTGCAGATCGCGCCCGGAGGCTACCTACATCCGATGGTGTAAAGTGTCAAAATCCTGCGCTTCGTGAGGAAACGTCTTCTATCATGATCTTTCCTCAATATCAAGTATTTAAAACACTTTTCATTCAGCCAATAGCTATGTTTCATTTAATGGAACTTTTCATTTAATGAACCCAGTAAACATGCCGACGTCGGCCCGACGTCGGCCGACGTCGGGGTGACGTCGGCAACTCGGCATCGGAATGCCAACGTCGGCCCGACGTCGGTCCAACCTCGGCACGACGTCGGCTGGATGTCGGATATGCCCGCATGTTCCGACGTCCAGCCGAGGTCCAGCCGACGTCGGACCGACGTCGGACCGAGATCAATTGCTGAGGTCCAGCTGACGTCGGGCCGACGTCGGGGCGACGTCGGACCGACATCGGCCGCTGTTTTGACCGTTAAAATAATATAAAATACATGTTTCATGTTTCATAAAGAGCTTCTGTATTCAAAATATCCTCAGGAAACTCAAATCTTCCTCCACGCCGCAACCCCAGCTGATCCGGACTGGACGGGAAACTTTATCCCATTTGGGATTGCCCGTAAGCCGAGCTCGCCCGTAGCCGGGTGCGGTGAGTGCTTGGGGGCTGCTCGGCCTATCCTTTGGTCAGGCTCAGCCCTGGCAACTCACCAGGGCCGGGCCCAGTTCATACAGAAAGGCCAGTCGGCAAGTGTCACTTTGCCAAAGTGCCACTTATCAAAGGGACACTTTGGGAAACGTTGGTGCAGGTGTGTAAGAGTGACTATATGAATCCATTGTGGGGTCGCCCTTTCCAATAAGTGTCACGTAACAGCAATGGGACCAGGGACTCTATATGAACTGGACCCAGGGTGCTCGCCAAGAAGACCAATGTCTCCATCCTATGATCCTTCCGGCTCTGAAATGGTCTTGTCAGACCGAAAGGGCATAACACAACAAAACAAACCTAATTCGTTAGCTGGCTGCGTGGTGTAGTGGTTAGCGCATTAACGTCGCGTTCGAATGACACGTGGTTCGAATCCCATCGCCGGCTGATGCTTTTGGCGTGTTGTCCCAGTAAACATGCCGACGTCGGCGACTGGGGGGCTCGAATCCCGCCGCCGGTTGATATTTTTGGCGCGTTGTCCCAATAAACATGCCGACGTCGGCCCCGTCGGTCCAACGACAAACGATCTCGTCAACCTCGGCAAACGATCTCGGCCCGACGTCGGCTCGACGTCGGCTGGACTTCGGCTGGACGTCGGAACATGCGGGCATATCCGACGTCCAGCCGATGTCGGGCCGAGGTTGAACCGACGTTGGGCCGACGTCGTCATGTTTACTGGGAATGCATCTATTTATCTATTTAGTTGGAACTCGTAAGCTGTTTTGTTTTAGTAGCCGTTTCTTATAAGAAAATTAATATAAAGCGGCAATCGTTTGCCGCTTCACAAGTATATTATGTTCTATTTTATCGCTCATGGAGGTAATGATGTCGATGAACCAAATTAATCCAATAGCACAAATAATATCATGAAACGAAGATTACAGCGTCCCCTCAACAGCAGCTCCTGAACACTATTTTGCATTTCTCCCATATGCTGAATCAGGGTCGCGCGCAACATTGCAAATGTTGTATATTGGGCTAATCAGATCTACGATTGAGTACAATTGTTATCTGTTTAGCACACTGTCGCCCAGTTTATGCAAACGTCTAGAAGCCGTTCAATCAACGTGCTTGAGACTTCTAACTGGGGCTTTTCGCACATCGCCAGTTCTTGCGCTTCGTGCAGATACCGGCATTCCAGCACTTGATGACCGACGCGTCTTTCTTTTCCTCCGCTATTACTACAGAGCAAAAAGTGTTCGAAATCACATTGCGGTACCAGCAATGGAGGCGAGGAAACCAAGAACCCGACGCCCACTGCGTAGATCGTGCTTTCTACCCGGGTGCCTTGAGCAAGCTCATCAACTGCTAAACATTAGGCGCACTGAAGTTACTCTAAATCCTCCTATGATTCCATTTTGGCTCCTCAAAGACCTATCCATTGAATTTCTTTTTGATTATAAGAAGACCAGTATACCTCCGGTGGAAGCTCAAATGCTCTTCCAGGAGTATGTAGAGCTCAACTGCGACTCTGCTTTTTTCTTCACAGATGGCTCATGTCACGAAAATCAGATAGGTTCAGCAGCCGTCGGCCCTGGGCTTAGGTTTGGGACCCGGCTTCAAGAATTTACGACAGTCTTTAGTGCCGAAGTTCACGCAATCGAAAAAGTTATGGAGCACATCAAGGCAGAAAAGATTGATCGGGCAACCATCTGTACTGATTCGAAATCCGCTCTTCAAGCACTGGAAAGGACCGATAATGTTACCCACCACGGTATCTACAATATTCTCAGGATCACATCAGATCTCAATGAGGGCCAGCATGTGACCCTTCTTTGGGTTCCAGGTCATTACGGTATTGCAGGAAATGAACGTGCGGATGTCCTCGCAAAGGAGGCTGCAATGCGACCTGATCCAGTTGTGGAACCTATGGCCCAAGGGGACGCTATTCATATGATAAAAATCAAATTCGCCGAGTACCTTCAACGCAAATGGGACCAACATCATGCTGCACATATGTATGCGATCAAACGAGAACTTAGAACATGGGTCACATGTAACCAACCAGACAGGATACGCGAGGTGACCCTGGCCAGATTGAGGTGTGGTCATACTCGCCTCACCCATGGCCACCTTTTTGATAGGACGGGCCCTCCGATTTGCCACACCTGCGACACACGCATCTCCGTAGAGCACATTTTGATCGCATGCACGGCATTGCATCACGAACGAAGACACATCACTAACTATCTTGCGGTACAACACCTTAAAAACGACCTCCCGACGCTTCTCGGGGACGACACAACATTGACAAACCTGGTACTTGATTTCGTCCTAACATCACCCTACTCAGAGCTACTTTAACGGCCTTGACTGTTAGCAGGCGCCCGTTTCGCTACCACCAGGCTGACTTGTGATACGGGATGGGTCGGGTTTTTCGCTGGTGCCGAAACACAGAGCTTCGGTGGCAGACGGGTTTTCTCCTGCCGCTGGAGCAGGCTTAGAGGCTCAGCGGCCCAGCGAGCTACACCAGCGGACCCCGGCCGCTGAACAGCGGCGGCGGCCGGGTTGAACGACCACAGACAACCGTCGGCCGCCAACTGCAGCAGCGACAGATTCCCCATCCTCCAAACCATTCCTTTCATCGTGACGCTTAAAGGGACCCTCCCACCTTCAAAAAAGTTAATGAATTGGCATGAAAGTGATGTCGCTCGGTTCAGAAAGAGCAAAAACGAATATCTACCAAATTTCATCGAAAAAATATTCACCGGTTTTCAAGATATTAGACTTTTCCTTTTGTTTACTTTTTGGGATCTCCGCTGTTCCTAGCGACTTTATTTGAAAGTGCGGCATTTGTTGCGCGCAAAGCAGCATATACCACCGCGTGCTACAAAACGTTTTAGTCAAATTAATGACGGACGTTCGAAAGCCTGATGACGTCATCAGACTCCCGTAATGGTTAAGAGATAGGGACCACGCTGGTCCCACCCTGCAAGTAAAGGGAAGAAATTTCTTGAACACCATAAAGCTGCGGGCGTTGCGACCAGGATGAATGGTGGTTTCTGAGCCTGGCCGCAAACTTGGCTATCTCAACTCAAAACTAATGTTAAGGTGGGAGGGTCCCTTTAAACATTCACAAACCCCATCCCTCCCAGCGACATATCCCCCACTCTTCAAACCATTCCTGTCATCAAACTCTCGTAACCTTACCATTCACAAACTTCCTCCTTCCCTCCCTTCACAAACATCAATTTACCGGTAAGTTTCACTGTCATTTATGTGTCTTAACGTAAATTCATGGGTTTTTTCCCATATTCATGGCATAGTACATGGATATGGGTTTTCCCATGTTGTCTTGCTGTAAAAGTGGCCACCGGTCTTAGTTAGGACGGCCGGTTTGTTTTGCGCGGCGTAGTTAGGTCGCCGCCCTCCTCGCGAGGCCGGTAACGTAAGTTAGGGCCACTAAAAAAAAAAAAAAAAAAAAAAAAAAAAAAAAAGGTCGCGCGTGTGTGAGTTTCACGGTGTCGGATTGTTTTTGGATGGGGTTTACCACAAATTACAAATAAACAGATTGAAATCTGTATTTGTTGTAACAGGGCGAATTCCGGAACAAATTTATGTGAGTTTAGCCCGGGACGCACTACGCGATTTTTCCTGGGATTTTGCGATATCACGATATCGCATTATCACAAAAAGTTAAGAATTCTGAACTTTTTTGCGTTACTGCTTGACCGATATCAGTAGGCGGAACTATGGTCATGAGTACCCAAATATAGGAACGTTCCCATTTTTGGGAACGGAGTTCCCAAATATGGGAACGGGCGTTCCCATTTATGAGAACGGAAGGCAATTTTTCGGCTGTTCGCCCACTAAAACTCTAAAGTGCATCACGTCTCAAAAAAGTGCACGCTGATTTAAGTATCTACTAAATCTCCATAAAGTTATCTTTAATCTGACCGTGGAACAAGGAAATTGACCGTGGAATGATATTTTTAATGATTTTTTAAAAATGACAGAATGGTGGAAATATGGGTTATACGACATTTAACATGCAATTTTAAGGAAAATGAAGCATTTTTTACATTTTGAGGTCAAGTATAATAATTTTCGCCTGGTTATGAAGTTTCATTCTAGCGACACCAGATGCTGACATATGCAAGCGAACACGCGGACAGTCCCGAGGTAATATTGTTGACTTTTGGTGTCGGGGCGATCGACCGCGTGGAACGTCAGTGATTTTACCGAACTACTGTTGTAAACTCAGTTTCAGTGGTTTAAAATCATTCAGCTGTATTTTATCAGCCCTGAAAGACATATTTTATTTGGATGCTAGCTGTTTAGCGTTGTTTTATAAGCAGCGTCATGAGCGTGGTTTTTGTCTTCGGCGTTTCTAAGCATGATCGTTTGGGGGGAATTTCTCTGATATAGGTCGCTCTGTGTGGCTTACTTATAATTTTTATGCTGATTTCGATCATACCTCGTGCCCATCCTACCAGGCCTTTTGCCACTTACACTCATTAAGAAAGGAAAAAACTAGATTTTCATTGGGACTAGGTGTTTTTAGGGTGTAACATATTCAGCGTTCCCATTTTTGGATACTTCTTGTGCTCGTCAACTCTCGGTGATTAGCAGACAGGTGCTTGACATGTCTCCACCCTCGGCGCGGACGGTGGATATAGGTATGGAAGACCTTGTTGAACATCGCTGAGCGTTGTGGATTACGTAATCCTGCAGAGGGGGGCGTGCCCGCTGCGAGATCGACGGGAATAAAAGCGCAGAAGACCGGGCGAAACATGCAACGGTCTTGCCGGAAAGGTCATCTGATGATTGTTGCGTTAACAATAATTTGCGGCGTTGGACGTGATGCTTGTTAATGAAAAGAGCCCCTGAAAGGCGTCGGTGAAATCGTTCCCAATTTTGGGTACGCCGTTCCCATAATAAGGAACGCTTGCAACGCCAGTGTACGAGAGCGTTCCCAAATTTGGGCTCGCGGCCCGGGTGATGGACTGCTTTAGAAATAGGGGAACGATTTGAAACTACGATGGGCCTTACAATATCAAACTCTTTCCCAACAATATTGAGACAACTATCAGGCGGTTCACGATCGTTTTATATTTTTTGGACGTCATTTAACAGTTCTTTTTCTTGTTTTAAATAATGCCTACATGGCGTTCCCATATTTGGGTTTATCGTTCCCAAACATGGGAACGAAAGTGCGTTCCCGAAAATGGGTACGCTTGACCATAGTTCCGCCTACTGATATTGCGGGACATTTCATGAGATAATTCAGGTCCCACAGTGTGGCTCGGTGCATCTGTTTGCGCTTTATGAACATTTTCAGGCATTGCCAAGGGCATCGCATTCTCACATTATCATGCAAATTTGTATGGAAAACTGCAGTGGGGCGGCGGGGCCTGGGCTTTATATGGTTTTGCATCAGTATGATAATTCATTTTGCTGTTTGTAGTAGCTATTGCAAACTATAATGGTGTACATATATCTGCACTTTTGGAATTATAATTAAATGAAATACTCTAGTTAACACCATTATGTCTCCCATCACCATGCATCGTTTTTTTTTTTGTCAACACATTAATGTGCTTGCAGAAATCTTTGTCCGCAAATCTTTGTCCTCAAATCTTTCTCCAAGCCTTACTTGGCATGACCTAAACTAGCCTCGCCTATCCTGAACTAGCCAAATCTGACCTAACCTAGCCTAACCTAACCTAACCTAACCTAATCAACCTTACAGCCTTACCTACAGCCTAACGGTAAATGTCAAGTTTAAGTCCTAAGAAGATTTCATTGATAAATTTTTCATATTTTTACATTATTTGACATCCTGAATCCAAAAATGATACTCATATGTCTCGCAAATAAAAGAAAAAAAAACATAATCAAACCTGACCTAACCTTACCTACTTACCTACAACCTACCAACCTACAACCTACAAACCTACCCTAACCTAACCTAACCTACAAACCTACCTACCTACAACCTAAAACCTACAAACCTACAACCTAACCTAACCTAAAACCTAAAATTTTTGCTGTTTCATATTTGTATCAACAGCGTCACAATTGTAGTTAGGACCTAAACTTGACATATACCCAGCCTAACTAGTAACTACCTTAGATTTGTGTATACAATTTTCACAAAGTACCAGACAAGCCAGTCCACAAATCTTGAAATGCCAAATGAGAAAAATGAAATGAGAAATGCCATACAAAGATTTGACTGGATACTTAGTTCAGCACATTGCCATCGTAGGGCCAGCACTGGCCACTGCTCAATGCAAAATCTGACCGCATTAGCGAAAAAGCACAAACCACCGATCCGCTACCGCGCGGTGGGGATAATCAAGGGCGGTGTGACCCAGGTTCAGGATGCCAGAGAACTGGGCGTCAACTCTGCGACAATTAAACGCTGGATGGCCCGCAAAAGATCAGGAGAGACACTCAAGAACGGCACAGGTCGAGAGCGGGAGAGTGCCTGGAGCAGAGTGGCGAAGACCGTGGTTGCGAAGCCGATCTTTAAAAAACATCGTTCAACATGGGCGCTGGTAAGATAACTGACTGAGAGGCATCACCCAGCAATCAGCATCCAAATCGACCACCCACCGGTATTTGAAGGCTACCCTGAAGCTGAAGCTGCCCAGCCTCAGGATGCAGACCTGGCTTACCATGGTCCACCAGAAGTGCAGGCAGCTGGACTTCGCCAAGGCCCACACAAACTGGATCATTCAGGACTGGAGATGCGTCCTTTTCGGTGACCAGGTGCCCTTCGTGCTCTCTTAACCCTCGCCCATGTAGGGGGGGGGGGTTGGTGCAACCCCCCCCCCTGAGGTTTTTCGGAAATAGTGCAAAAACGGCGGCGCGCAGCGCCGCCAAATTTTGGGTACCTTATGGGGCAAACCTTGCGCATCTTTTGATAAAAAAAATTTGACCGGGTCATGTCAGGTCACGGAGTTATGACGTCACAAAGGGCCGGATTTTCACAAACTGAGTGCCAACGCCCGAGGTTTCCTGCCGGTGGTACAAACATCAGTTGATGGATCGTGATGAAACTTCCCATGCATGTTGGGGCAAGTATTGGCTATCATATGGTATAAGAAACTTGACCGGGTCAGGTCAGGTCACGGAGCTATGACGTCACAAGAGGAACAGCGTCCGGTACTATTTTTGAAAAGCGCCCGAACCACTATTTTGCTAATTCTTGTCACCTCAATGAGAATATGCAGCAATATTAGCTTCTATAGGGAGCAAATGGACCTCCCAAATCCAAAAATACAATCAGATTTCAAAAATTTAATTTTTGATTTTTCGAATTTCTGCCGCCGACTGTGACCTTGCCGACTTCCGGCGCTCCCAACGCGCCATTTTTAGAGCTAGGGAAACGAAATACATACCAAACGATAGAGAATTGATCAAGGAACACGATAGTGAAGGTTTCAAGTCGATATCTCCCACCGTTTTTGCCGCAATCGCCGCGGAAAGTTGAAAAAGTCTATTTTTCCGAAAATTTGACCTTTGACCGGTCAAAAGTAGGTCAAATGTTGACCTAGGACCAAAAAATATACCACCAATCGCGAGATCTCGGCGAGAGCAATCCGTTGGTCTTTTCCGCTAAGCTCTACGACGCTCCGTTTTCAAACGCCAAGGGGGGGGGGTCGCACCAACCCCCCCCCCCCCTGCATGGGCGAAGGTGGCAGATCGCCGTTTACGGGCGAGGGTTAACCCGCGCGGGGCTGGGGGGGGTAAATTTTACCCCCCCTCGCGAATTTTTGCGATATCTCAAAAACGGCGGCGCGCAGCGCCGCCAAACTTTCAGTACCTTTTCTTACATCAATTTCACACGTTCCCTGAAAATTTGAGCGAAATCCGTCGGAAAATTTTTGAGAAATTGACGTTTTAGTGACGTCATGTTCGCCATTTTCGCCTCAAAAACGGTAAAAGTTCAAACGCCGCTTGCATCTTCATTTTTAAAGGAATCAAGACGTAACAAAAAAAGTTATACGTAATTTTACTTTGTCTATCAAATGGCTATCTCGGTTTTTTGAAAATTTTGGATTTTGGCCTAATTTTTTTCCAAAAACTGACTTTTTTGGGAAAATCATTATAAAATCCAAAATTTTGAGTCTATCAAAAAAACCGGAATATATGTCAGAGAAGTGGTCTATGTGCACCTACATACCAAATTTTAGAAGAATCGGTTCAAAAATGTGGGAGTTATTCAAAATTTTATGACGTCACGACACACAAATTTTTTGAAAAACGACTTTTTTGGAAGTTCTAGACCTCGTACGGAAACAAAAATAGCACCATTCGATTCGCCGTGAAAAACTGCATCAGATAGACACCTTTTTAGGCCTTAACAACCAACTTCAAAATTTGACCTCACTTGACCTGACCTTAACCTGACCTCGACCTGAAATTCATCCAGAGGTGGTCCATATCACTTATTGAGTGTGCCTATTGAATTCTATGAGTAAAATGACCCATAAAACATGTGTCGCACATGCTCTTTTCTATATTTTGTTTTTTGGCGACCTGACCTGACCTGACCTGACCTTGACCTTGACCTCTGAATGATATTGTATGCAACGAATATTGTCTTGGTAGCCTAAGAACACGTTTTGGGTGATCAGTCTCAGTCCATGACTCCATTCTTCGGCAACTACGGTGCAAGGCCGATACTGTAGAAACTTGCAATTTGTACCCTTGACCTGACCTTGACCTTGACCTCAAACTTTAAATTAAGTACATGTTTTTAGTAGTTCGTGATGAGAGCTTTCGATTGGCGTTTGAATTTTCCAAATCGGACCATTAGTTCGGGAGATAACAGGGGGGGGGGGTAAAATTTACCCCCCCCCCCAGCCCCGCGCGTTCGGCTGGAGACCCCAGCCCCGCGCGGGTTAAGTCCCTAACCGCCACGACGACCTGTTGTGGCCCAACGGCAGCTCCGAGGAGTCCGTTGTCGAGACGGCGAAACATCCAGTGAACCAAGTCCACCTTCACCACCATCCAGCTTCACCAAGTGCCGCGACGACAGACCGTGACTGCTGACTACTATGTCAGCGAGGTGCTGAAGAAGACTGCCGCCACAAAGATGCGGAGGAAAAAGGAAAATGGCTAAAAGCCAAAGTCAAACTTTTGCCAGACATGTCTAGAGCCATTTTCCAGCAAGGAAGGGCTCCAGTACATATATCACGCCATGAAGACCCAGGAGTGATGCCGAGCGAGGTTTCCAGGCATCTGGGAGAAGCGGGCTTGGCATGGCAACAGTCTGGACCTGTCCCCTATCCAAATCTTCTGGACGATCGTCAGAGAAGAGCTCAGCAAGCTTCCACCGGCCAGTTCAGAGAAGACGCTGTTTCAGATCGTTTAAACGGCATGGCGTAGTTTCAAAGGAGACTTTTGACAGCCTGATGTGTGACACGACGGAGCGTAAAAGGCAGTGTGTACACGACTGAATGGGGGCTATGATAACGCATAAACCGTGAAACAAATTCAAGTACCTACTTTATAATTTATTAAGAATAAAACAACCGCGTATCAATTTCGGGACATCCTGTACTTGACACCGCCATTTAAGGAACGCATCTCGTTTACCAATGTTGCATAACGCGATAACCTCAGATTCTTTTGACGGAACTTATTATGTACCTACGTTGAACATACCCGATTAATCGTTTGCAGTGTACCTATTATTTATTTGCTTGATGTCTCAGAGCGTTGGTCTTCAGGTCCTCCCATAGGCTGTGCTCTGCTATAACCCAACCGCCGTAACTGTGACATCACCTGCCTAGAGGGTGCGTTTCATGTTGTAACAGCGCAAACTTGCTACCGGGGATAACTGACATTGTGGAAACGTGAGTCGGGCTGCATCATCTCTCTCCTGCCCCATGCCACCCCAAACCTCGGGGGAGGGAACGCACGTGCTTGTGATTAGCGTTAGCCTCTGTCTGAGGAGCCAGTTCGAGTACCTACCTACCTAATTAGCCTGCGTACCGGTGATTTCTACTAGCCTCTACCTGGGTCACAGCAGGCGACGACCCACATGATTGATGGGACCACCAGCGCAGGCATAGTCTATTCTGACCACCACACACTCATTTAGACCTGAGAGCGCACTGAATTACATACATGTCGAAGCTCCACCAATGTTTTTCGATTTTCCTCACCTACTTCGTCTGGTCCGTTAATATGTCTTTCAGTCGTCACCAAGACAAATCCGCACCGCGCTACACTAAATCTGCACGGCACCAAATTACTGACAAAAAGAAAAAAATGCTTACCTTAAATAAGCCATCTCATTTTTAGGATCATGTAATGACAAATATGTTAAAATAAGTGCAAGCATGCTATAACGTCTTGGGTTCAGGCTCAAGAGATGGGGTTAGCCTATTTCTGGCCCTAAGCCAGTGTTCGTGCCCACATTTATTTATAATATACTGCTCTGTATATTAATGTCAACACATACCTCTGTGCCCTGACTGAGCGTGCCGGTGCGGCAGCGCCCGCTGAGGCGTCGGTCGTTGACGGCGCGCCGTTGTCTGGCAGCTCGCTGGATGGTCCAAGCCGAGGAGCAGCTGCAGTGCGTGGCCTCCTGGTACCGCTCCTGGTCACCCGAGTGCAGGCAGCAGCTCATCGACTTCCTCGTCGCCCAGGCGGTGCCTGACAGCGTCGAGTCTCTGGCTCTGGTTAGTCCCCCAGCTGGTGGAGTCTGCTTTTTGTGGCACTACCCATTTATTGTCTTATATGTATTTTTTTATGGTATCTGCTGTGCTCCTAACCAAACCGTTGACTGGCTTCCCCCTGGCTTCCACCTGGCCAGGATGTGTACTGTGTAGCCTCTCTGTCTCACTCCTGTCCCGGTCGCTGCCCTGTCTAAGCTGACCTACCGTTACCCTGTTTGGGCAGGACGTCAGCCGACTGGGCGTCACTCAGCCGCCCACCACCTTCCAGTGCCAGCTGCGTCTGCTGGCCACCTGGTTCGAGCAGTGGCCGGACGCGGCCCGCAACCGGCTCCTCCAGCTGTTGGACATCGCCGACGCCCAGTTTATGCCCCAGTTCCGCGCGCGCACCGCCCCGTCGCAGCCATGACCACCCACTCGGCCACCTACAGCCAGCCGCAGCAACTCAGCTTCGTCACCGGCTGGTTCTCTGCCTGGAGCGAGCTGCAGCGCCAGGACTTTGCGCCGGCGCTGGCGCAGAAACTGGAGCCGCGTCTGTACGTGAACGGCCTGATCGGCGGCCTGGAGCGGCTGGGCCGGCCGCCGTCCATCTTCCAGTGCCAGGTGAAGCTGTTCCAGGAGTGGTCCGACTCCTGGACGCCTGAGCAGCGCGCCGAGCTGCGCGCGCGCCTGGTGGCCGCTGACGCCGAGTTCGGCCGGCGCCTGGAGGCGGCACTGGCAGAGCCGCACTGCGGGGAGGAGCGGCCGACCGACGGCGGCGACGGCGACGGCGCCGACCCGGAGCCCGCCGCGCCCGACGCGACGACCCCAGAGGACCCGGCGGCGCCGGAGACGGAGCAGGCCACTGAGGATGTTAGCATCGACAGCCAGAGCAGCGAGCTGACGCCCACGGAGATCTGAGCGGGCCGCGCCGAGAGGGGCCTGGAGGCAGGGTGAGCGGGGATTTAGGGGGGAGGGGACACGGCGGGAGGACTGGGAACTGAAGGCGGGCACAGTGGGCTGAGTTCGGTAGGATGGCTGACGGACTGAGCTCTGAGCGACTGCGGACTGAGGGACTGCGAACTGAGATAGGTGGGCAGGGAGTGGTGTAAGGCGGGATGATGAGGACTGAGGGTCAGTCAACTGAAATCGGAGGGGCAGCCAGAAAGTCTACGCGGCGGGAGTGGGGTTTGACTGATGAACCTGGGTTGACGGGTTAGCAGTGACGGGTGCTATGCTCCGTTTGCTAGCGGGAGAGGAAGGCAGACGAGTGCCAATCTGCCTGAGTTACTCGTGGCATAATGGTGAGAGTAGATTGAGACTCGGTGTACCGTGCTGTTGCGGACTGAGCCCTGCAACAGCTGTCTCATCTGCCAGCCAAAAACGGGCTGTTTTTCAGAGGTGATCTGATTTGGGAATGCTATTCTGAAAAACACGTTTTGGCTGTTGGGCCTTCGGTGGACATGAACTTCAGCCGATGGTAACGTTTACAACGGCCTCAGCTGCGATAGCTGGTTGCTACGAAAGGTAAAGGCGACGCCGTAGACAATCACTATGTGATGGGCGGAGCCTCGCCCGCAGATAATAATCGACCGAACATTCCAGATCGCTGTTTCGCATAGCGCTTTCCTGCAACAGCTTCGCATTTTTCCACGATCAAAAGCGTGTACGCTGAGCGACTGTAACGTCTTGCCAGTTAGGTTCCTCTATGTTAGTCGCATAATTGCGAGCTATGCGCTTTGAACACCTGCAAGCGTCTTCAGTTCTTACTGATCTTGTTATTATTGGCATTTATAGCCTGTGCGCTTTCGTTGACGCGTTGTTATTCACTTACTGAACTACCGCCGTCGTGTAATATAGCCGCAGTATCTTATACACGACGGGTCGGCCCTTGAATGGTTATCTCAACTGGCCATGTAGCAGCTGTGCCACTCCTTATGGCGACGCGGTCGATATTCGGAATGTTTACGTGTATTGGTATTACGTTATCTCGTACGTAGTTCTCGGCCCTACACGGGTTTCTCGTTTGGGCGGCTTAGTTGGGTAGTAGATATAGCAGTAATCAGCCACGCACCAGTGGACTACATTGACTCGGTGACTCGGACTCTGGACTCTGTGTCTACTCTCCACTGTGTGTCTGGCCGGCGCGGTCTCCGTCCGGCCTCTGTGAGTGTCGGTAGGTGCGGGGACCGCCGGGTTCGGTGGTGGTAGCGGCCCTCTGGGGCGCCGGTCGCTGAGCTATGACCCGCCCTGTAGCCGTGGGGCACTGGTAGTGTAGTGTAGTGTAGCGGAGCGATCGCTGTCTCTGCTGCCAGTGAGGGACGGCAGAAACGGCGCTCTTGTGGCAGGGAGTTGGTCTTTGTTCTCATGGATTGTGCCAGGTACTCTACTTACTCGAATAAGTATCAGCGAGCTCATGTGAAACTTTGATAACGGCGTATGCACAATATACTCGCTAGTTTTACGAGCTGGTTTCCTGGATGGGGGGTCGAGGCTATATGTATGGAAACTAAGAAATGGGAGTAGAGCCAAGCCAAGGAATGGAAGGAACTTTCACGTGTAGAGCCAGCGGAGAGAGAATGGGGGAAAAACTCTGGCATCAGTATGAACCGAAACATCAACGATAGCGTAGCTCGTGCGTTGGGCGTTGCTGAAACACGGGCATTTATGAAATACAATTTATACGCTGCATTCTTCTAGGAATGAAGGAACCAAAATTTGTATTGTGTGTGTAGACTGTAGGTAGGTACTAATCTCACTTCACAGCCATAAGCGGCAGAAAGGAAAACTTCGAGACGGTAAGCGTTCGCAGCGTCATCTATTCTGGCGGAGGGGATAACCATGGGACAGGTGGTGGGCCGGTCGCGGCCTTGGAACCTGATCTGGAACATTATGTCACTATAAAAACGGCTGATGTTTTGATAGCAAAGCTATCATCTCTCTTTTAAGAAAGGCTGTATGCATTCTGCTTAAGCTCCTATATAGGTAGCATGCTGCCCAGTAACTTTCTGTTGCTCACAGGGCTGGGGGGTCGATCCAAGTCGCTTGTTCTGGACGGAGTCTGGGTCGACAATGCTTGACGTTAGCCATAGTTTGCTTATAATTTAGGACATTCTACTCTCGTTTTCTACCGATTGTGCCCGTTATGATTCGATTCTGATATTGAGCAATCGGACCAGATGGTCCAGCACGGTTGGCTCAGGGCCGGAGATCCTGTGCTGGATTTGCGGGATCCGGACCCCACGGACACACTGGGAACTAACCCCCAGTCCACGCAGATCGGCGTGGTGAGAGGGATTCTAAGACAAACTTGGAGTCCCCTGAATTCGCTTTGGGCCCTCTGAGGCTGACATGTGACACTTACGCACGGAAAAAGTTATAAGATTGATCGTTTTAGGGGCGTTTCGGGTACTGTGATCGTTTGAAATGCGCTGGACCAGGTGGACCTGTGCCATTCAAAGGTGCTCTCCAGCCCTGGGTCGACTGTTGCTCCTGCTATAGCAGGAGCATCTAAAACAAAAGCTCTATAGAGCAAAAGCTCTTTAGAGCTTTTACGTCCTATCGAGGACCTGGAGCTGAGATGGCCAGTCAAGGACTGCACATCAGTGCGTCAATCATTATTCAGGTAAAATAAAAGGCATAAAATGACTTGAGGCATTTTACCGTGGTACGATTTTAAAGCTCGCCGCCGTATCTGTCGGTTTTACGGCCCAGCCAATGGGAGGGGCAGGGGGAGGGGCTGGCACGACCGTCCTCGCCGTTTCGCCGAATTTGGGCTACCTATAGAGAGAGCTTCGCGGAAAAATATGGGCGTTTGAACCGGTGCGACACGCAGCGGCCGATTCGCAGTTCAAGATCTCATGTAAATCGGTGACATGTGAATTAAAGTATAAAGTGCCCAAAGGCTAGAATTGTTTTTTTTTTGTGTGTAAAAAAATGCCAAAATGGTCGCAGAACAATGCAGAACGGCTATAGGGGAAGTTGGGGCAATGCCGGAGTTGGGGCAAAGCCGAAATTCGAGATATTTCGAAAACCGTAAGACATGGATGCCACCTGTCAGTGATGCTCTGAAGCTTAAGTGACTACAATTATCGCATGTTTGTTACGAGTCGTCATTCGGAATACTTCGACTGTGAGGGCGCCAAGAGCGTTTTCAAGGTACGTTTCCCTTGTACTACATGCGCCTTTGAAGCTGCATTTCTCACTCATTATGCTACCGTTTGTCTGGCCAATTCGGTCAAGCAATCTTTAGCATGTCTTTGCATAAGTGTGCTGCCTATTTGAAATTTATACAGCACGTTGAAAAGTTATGGGCCTGCAAATGAAAGTATGGCAGGCTGGGGTAATGCCGAAAACGTGCGATTACGCACGTGTTGAAAGCACGCTACGTGGACTTTACTGCTGTAGAATAGCAACGCGTATTTTTAGTCACACAAATTACACTTTCAACCGACACAACGGCCTGTTACCTATAAGGAATGATTTACCTGGCATGTTCTTATTATATCACACAATTATAACTTTCAGTGTGCACCGCGTCCTCAAGCTCTTAAAGCGCGTGTCAGCTTTGATCAATTCTGGATAAAGTTTGAGATAAAATGGCAAAACATCAATGTCGGCATTCCCCGTAGATCATTTCTCCCATTTTCGGCTTTCCCCGCAGTCCGGGGCAACGCCGAAAAAGTCACTTCTTTGATATTTTTAGTTTGTGCGCTTAACGGTATGCGAATTCATCAAATGCGCCTGGTATGTTTGAAAGGCAAAAGACTGGCCTCTCGAATGACGCCAACAAGAATAGCTTATGTTGTCTACCTTGTGTGCTACGGGCGTCAGAAAAAAGTATTCGGCGTTCCCCCAACTTCCCCTATTGTCGCGGCTGCTCTCGTCATGTTTAGCAAGGCCCTAATGTTATAGTCGCGTTCAAACTTGAATGATATGCTTTTTGTTTGGCAAAGTTTTTTGTTGACCTCAGACCTATCAGGTCGATTACCTGTTCGGGGAGGTCATGCTCCATACAATTCGATTTGGCACCTCACTCGGATTATATTGGTGTCTTTCCTCATTCGCTAACACAATGTAATAGGGAGTTATTACAAAACTCCTATGGTCTCACCTCACTTCACTGCAGTGACGCCATGAATAACGTCACGCAAGGTCCGAATGCCAAAAGCAAAAGCTAGAAACTATGGCTCCATTATCTTTATATAGCATTAGCGCCAATCCGGCGTTAAATAAGCAGTTTCCATATTTCCCCTCATGTAGTCAGCCCTTGCCGGACCTATTGCTTTTCTAAATGCCGATATAGGTTCGGCTGTCCGAGGAGAAAACAACCCCCTTCACCGTTTCGCCCCAAATTGAGCTAAGGACTTGAGCTCGCGAAAGATATACATGTGCACCGCTACGAATCGCAGCGACACCGCCTCAGGTCAATCGTTGACCTTGGAGGTCAGATTCCTATAGGACAGTCATGTTGATTTGACACCGTCATGTGTTCATGCATCCGCGTCGCCACTTTTGTTTGGGGAGGTCAGCTTGGATGTTGAGTATGTTGATTGTTGGCCTCACAGTGAGGAAGGTAAACTCAAAGTCGCTCAGGTCACGAAGCTGCTGAGTGGAGATTATGTACTATGCAGCATATATGTATTACATATGTATAGCCTGCGCCGGACCGGTGCTCGGCGCCAGCCGTGCCGGGCCGGAGTGTTTTAATCCCCCCCCCCCCCTAACTCCTCCTTGGCCTCGTATAGAATAACACATTTCTTAGAAGGCCTGTAAAAGGTCCAGCATGCGACATTTGACCTGACCTATGACGTCGTCAGTTGCACCTAATTCAATGAAATTGGGTCACATGCTAGTTCTCCGGTGGGGCTATCGAACGTCGTTTGAATTATGAAAATCAGTCGGTAACTTTCGAAGTTCTTGGGGGGGGGGGGGGGTGGACGATGCCCTCCCCCATCGGGTGGTAGAGTCTGGGAATAGTTAGGCCAACGGTTGGCGGGATAAATTTAAGCCGTATTTTAAATGCGCTTAGAGAGATCGCGAACAAATCAGTCGAAAAACGAAGCAGAGCTGGAGTTGATTTTATAAAGCCTAAGGCGGAGTCGGATTCAGCGGATACCCATCGACTCTGTGTCCTGGTTACTTAAAGGAAATAGTTCACTTTCACGAAATTATTTTTTTTGCAACGATTTATGATTTTTTATGTTCAAAATAATCAGCAAAGAAAATAAAACCTTTTTATAACAAAAGATTTTTTTTCTATATTTTGATATAGGAAGAACTTTTCAGTTTCTGTAAGGCACACGCGATCCAGTATGAAAAGAGCATGGGTCCCGAAAATTCTTCAGAAACAGAGAAATTATCGCAGCCACCGGCATTTGGGCGATCTGCTCGATCTGATAATGTTCCCCTGAATGTCCTAATTGATCAGTACGAGAATTTCTCTAGAGTTCTCGTAGATAATTTCTCTAGTTTCTGAAGAATTTTCGGGACCCATGCTCTTTTCATACTGGATGGAAATATATGCAAGGCACACATCCTCAACGCAAGACACCTTTTTCGGGACGAGAAATAGAATATCTTGGCCTAGGGTGATCGTTGGGCTGTAAAAGCTCCTGATTTATGCTCGTCTCAGCCCAAGCTACGGAACTGCTATTCCAGTTCAAAACCCATGTTAAAAAGTAAACTATTTCCTTTAACGGGCCGAGTGGATGTCATTTTTCCTGTTATGTTACGTGTGCATTACCTACCTGCATCCGAACAGGAAAATGATAGCTACGGTCAAAATAATACACTCAAAGCACGCAAGGAAAACCTTGGTCCACTTTACGAGGACAAACATCCGACACGCATTGTTTCGTTAGGTCTCACAGGGCCTCGTCTAACATGTTAACTGGGGGGGCAATTGCCTCCCCAGTCGAGCGGATTGCCCCCCAGTGGCCAACATTTGCCCCCCCAGTCAACACGTGAACTTCTCACAAAATTACCTTATCTGCAATACGTTTTGCTAGGAGTCTTACATGGATTTAACGAGAAACATTAAATGATTTGTTCAATAACTGTTCATGGCTACGGGAAAAGCCAGAGTTTTGTGATTTTCAGAGCTGAGAGCGCCAATTAGCAAATTGTCAAACGCCCAACACGGATAAGTATGTTTATCACTGTCTGGTGAGGGGGTAACACAATGTTAACCCGCGCCGGGCCGGTGCTCCGCGACTTCCGCGCCGGACCGGGGGTGTCTGAACCCCCCCCGTCTAACTCCGCTCCTGGGCCACGTAGCGACACGCATTAAGCGGCATTCGAAAGAGCGTCAAAAATAATGACGGAAACACTTCAGTCATGTTTTTAGGAAGGTCAAAGTTGATATCGCCGACGCCAGAGGTCATCAAAGGTCAAATTTTGTCCATTTCAACAATTTTGGAAACTGCCAATGGCTAACTCTGGAACCGATAGAGTTAAAGCGCC